TATCATGATGATCTCCCAGTAACAAAGATGACCTTGGAAGGTTCCTTCTGTAATGGAAATTTGTCAGACCTCTGGACATTCAATCTAAAGATCTTCCACTCTTTGTGATTCATTACCTTTAGACTTGGTCAACAAATATAGATATGCCTATGTATATACATATATGTTATATATGCATTTATGCTACACACATACACACACCCCTGTCATCACAGTGTACATTGTGAAAGATTCTTAATAAGGGTATGAATTCTTTTGCTCGTTTCAGATCTACTTCTACTGGATCTGTAGAGAGACAGGTGCCTTTGCCTGGTTCAACAACTTACTGAATTCCCTGGAACAAGAGATGGAGGAATTAGGCAAAGCGGATTTCCTAAACTACCGTCTCTTCCTCACTGGCTGGGATAGCAACATTGTGAGTTCAAATAAAACACTGATTCCAACAGTAAATGTTAAGACAAAATAGTGCATGTGAACCAAAATAAGTATTCCCTAGCATTTACCTGACCTCATCCTCACACTGAAAGTTAAAAGTAGCTTACAGAAGAGGCAGCTGTCAAACTTGGGTTTTCTAATTTTCTATTTCTCTGGTTCCAGGCTGGTCATGCAGCATTAAACTTTGACAGATCCACTGACATCCTCACTGGTCTGAAGCAGAAAACCTCCTTTGGCAGACCAATGTGGGACAATGAGTTTTCTAGAATAGCTACTGCCCACCCCAAGTAAGTACCTTGTCCTCTCGTCAACTGAGTCTGCAGAGTTCGGATTTAAGTATATTGAGCACACCTGGGACAGAGTGGGCCAGTGAAATGGGTTATCAGGGAAGGGTGTTTGCCTTTAAAACCTACGAAGTAAGAGAGAACAAACTCCCTTAAATTGTCCTCTGCCCTCCACATGTGAAACATGACGCTCTGCCCACTTATTGAGCTCTGATAGCGCTGCACACACATATGTGCTCATGTGTGCACACACATAGGTACACACCCCCACACACAAACCCTTGCACACACATAATAAATAAATTTAATAGAAAACTTTAAGGATGAGGAAATTTCATCCAGGTTTTTAGTAAAATAAGGGTCATGATTTTCTAATTGTAAAAAGCTGTTTATTGTCCCCACTGTTCTCTATTGAATGAGCAAGGCGAAGAAACTTTGCTTATAAAGATAGTGCTGCACAAACCAGAAAACTGGAGAAATGTGCATACATTATTTGCTTATTCATAGGCATCATCATATCTTCATACATATGTGTTTTCATGTGTTCCTTTTAACTACCCTGACCCCAAACCAAATCACCTCGGCTGGATCTGGATCTTTCTTTCTGGGGATATTTCCCCATTCTGCTTTTTCATCACATTGCTCTCAGAGAAAGAACACTATAAAGGTCTGCCCACAGAACATGGGGAGGAGTAATGATGACCCAGGATAACAACTAAGGGGCATGAGAAGTGCTGTCCCCAGGAGCCAAGAGAAAAAAAGATTTCCGCAGCATTGGCACAGGTGTTGGAATGACAGGCTCAAGAAGTGCTTATTAGTTAGTGTAAGGGTGGTCTGAGTGTATTTTAGAAACAGGACAGTATCCAGTATGTAAGGGAGAGGAATAAAATGGCTATAGCGAAAAATGAACAATAATAAATGTTGGCAAGGAATTGGAGAATTTGGACTCTTACTATATCAATTACATAGGATGGAGACTGCAACTCCTGGAGAAAACTTTCAGCAGTTCTTAGAAGTGTTAGACATAGACCCACATAGCCCAGAAATCTGACTTCTTGATATATACCCAAGAGAAATGACAACATAACACACACACACACACACACACACACACACACACACACACACACACACACACCCCACAAATCTGTACATGCATGCACACAGCAGCATTACTCATAATAGTCCAAAGTGAAAACCACCCGACTTCCCAGAGAGTGGGATTTTATTCATCTATAAAGAGTACTTCTTTCAAGTACGGACACACGCAACACCATGGATTAAATTTGAAGGTATTATGCTGAATAAAAGAAACTAGAGGGCTGGAGAGATGGCTCAGTGGTTAAGAACACTGATTGCTCTTCCAGAGGTCCTGAGTTCAATTTCCAGCAACCACATGGTGGCTCATGACCATCTGTAATGGGATCAGATGCCCTCTTCTGGTGTGTCTGAAGACAGCTACAGTGTACTCATATAAATAAAATAAGCCTTTAAGAAAAAAAAGAAAGAGAAAAACTAGAGAGGGTTTGACAATACAGCTCAGTGATGCTGTGGTTCTTCCCAAGGACCTGAGTTCAATACCTATCACCAATAAAAGGTGGTTCACAACTTCCTGTATCTCCAACTTCAGGGAATCTGATACCTCTTTGGGACTCTGCAGGCACACAGAACATACTCCTGCCACTACATGTGCACAATAATTTTTAAACACTGAAAATTATTAGAAAGAGAAGGCCACTTATGGTATGGTAATATATATAGAGAAAGTAGATCAGTTGACTATGTAAGGCAGGGTGGTATGGCTGGAATGTAATCAGTGGATTCTAATATAGTTTCCATTAAGGGGGATGGAATTAGGGATGATGGTTTTGTAACTTTGTGGTTACAGCAAAAAACACTAATTGTACAGTTCAAAGGGTGGACTTTATAGCACACAGATTACACCATAATTAGGTTTAAAAAGAGAAGTTTGAGAAGCTGAGATCCATGGTGTAATTAGAAAGCTTGGCTTTGGGAGAAAAACCACCTTCACAGGCACATCAAAGTCTCAGGTCAGGCTAGGTACAGCAGTTAGCTCAGGTGCACTTGCTGTGTGCCAGCTACTCGTCCATTTATTTTATGTTTTTAATTCTTAGAACAACCCTGCAAGGTAGGTGCTATTTTTATTTTCCTTTTCAAAAGGGAAAGCTCACAGTTGGGATGGCAGAGCTGGCCAGGCAGACTGGATCTGCCAGCAGTAGCTGAGATGGATCAACCCATTTTCCCTTAGCGATCTCCATTCAGGAAGTCAAATCCCTATTTGGCAGAAAAGAATTTGAAGACCAGCCAAAATGAAACAAAGTGAGTATAAGTATTTAAACAGAAGCATATAGAACAAGGACAGTATACAGTCCCACACCATGGACACAGGCTTCTCAAGAGAGTTGTACCTAGGTTTCTTTTCAATGACTATATACATAATGCTATCCTAGGGTTACATCCCTGAAAGGGTATAATTGACACAGTTTAATGGTTAAGGAAGGATTAAAATTTAGGGGAAGTTTAAAAATTGAATAAAACCCATATGTTTCTTAAGTGTTTTTCTTTTGTAAACAATGTTGTCAGGTACCTTTATGAGATATGAGATACAGGAGATTATACAGCCAAATTCAAGATGACAGCCACTCCAGTCCTAAGTAAGCATAGTCCATTCACTGTTTTAATATTCCTGCTTGACATGTCTCTAGAAAAACTTGCAGTATCGCAGTAGGTCATTTTGGCTTCAACATTTGGGCCAAGTTTTCTTCACTTAGCATGAAAGGCAGTCTAGATCTCAGGGTGAGGTGCTTCTTTCCCTGCGTATGTCCCTTTACATTCTTTCTATCCTGCCTCCACCACAGCACCTATCACTTAACAATGGTATTTACTGTACTGCATCTCTTGTCTCTCCGTTCTCAATAAAACGGAGGAAGGCTGAAAGGCTGAGCATATTTAAGACTTGGGAACTAAAAAGTTTAAGAAAAAATTTACTTGGAAGTAGAATTTTTAACAACTGAATTTAAGTTTTTCTCAGTTTTTTCCCAATTATATACATGTTTCATTGTATTTTCATATATGTCCATAATGTATTTTTTGTTTGAAATTAAAATTGTATCATTCCCCCTAACTCCTCCCATGTATCCCTTACTCTTTCAAATTCATGGCCTCTTTTTCATATCTATATGGACAAATATATGTATGTGTATATACATATATCTATCCTTATATATACAATGTATTTGAACTATTTTATATTTATTACATGTATATTATGTATGTAAAATGTTTATGATTAAAATATAACATATATATTCTTTTCCCCTAAATATAAACATAACCTGCTTCATCCATTTAATGTTATTTGTATGTGTATGATTTCAGGGCTGAGCACTTGATTTTTATCCTATTTACTTCCTATGGCCCTCTTTTCCTTGTGCGCCTTCCCACTCCTGATTTCTTTAACCCATCCCTCTTCTACTTTCATGGTTCTTCTCTCCTTTTTGGTGCCCTAGTCGGTTTAATGAGAGCTACTTCCAGGAGCATTGGCAAGGTACCAGCAGCTACACTGGAGAAAATGTTAAAATGGCTCTCATTTTCCAGCAACCAATACTACCAATAGCTCCTCAGAGTGCTAGGTCCTTGTGACCCCAGCCAGACCCATTTCAGGACAGAATCATGATGGACCCAATCATCAACTGAGTTTTTGTTTGACATTGTTGGGAGTAGCAGAGGCTATTCTACATTTCCACTGTTTTTAGCTCATAATTGCATCCAAATAATTACTACTGCTCTGTTCTTACAGGTCTGTGGTGGGGGTTTTCTTATGTGGCCCTCGAACTTTGGCAAAAAGCCTTCGTAAATGCTGTCAGCGATACTCAAGTCTGGATCCCAGGAAGGTACAATTCTACTTCAACAAAGAAACGTTCTGAATTGTAGGAAGCAGCACAGTAGTCCACACTTTCCTTTTTTCTTCACTAATGTGTGGGTCAGCTACTAGATAATCTTTTGTCTCACAAGGACTTTACTCCCAACTTAAAGTTTGATGCAACTTCGTCATACTTGAGCTTTGCTAACCTGAGAGCTGCATAACTCACAACAATTGCAAAACACATGAATTGTTTGTATTGGGGGGATTGTAAATCCTTCTGGGAAACCTGCCTTTTGCTGAATTTTGCTGGTTGACACTTGCACAATTTAACCTCAGGTGTCTTGGTTGATAATCTTCCCTCCCACCTGTCCCTCACAGAAGATTTCTAAGTAGGGTGATTTTAAAATATTTATTGAATCCATGACAAAACAATAACCATAAATAATAAACAACATAAAATTACCAAGATTCCCACTCCCATATCATACCCACTAAGTACATTGTTACACATGAGTTAATCCAGTGTGACCAATAATTTACACTTCACTTTGCCAAAACAATTGAAAGATGTTCATCTTTGTTTATTGAACAATTTTACTGACTTTCCCTAGTAATATCTTAAATATATTAACTATAATCAAATTGTATTGTAGTTAGAAGCCAACTATATTGTCACTTTGTATTATTTGAAATAACTGGAAAGGCCTGACCTGGGATAACTTAACAGAAGCTCTTTTAAGTTTCGTTGTTGTTAAAGGGATTGTTTATGAATGTGTTATAAAAAGAAAATAAAGTTATAATTTTGGCTATTTTACAGGTCTTACTCAATGAGGAATAATCATCCACTAAATGCCATTCTTTTTCCTACAAAAATGTTTATTTTTCCTATCAACCAGGACAATAACCACACTGGCTCTGAGATGTTAGTAATGGTGAATTACAAGAAAAGGTGCAGGCTCCAGGAGGGAGAAATAAAACCCCACGCTTCACTGTACTCAGGCAGTTGACCTCAGACATTTAGCACAATGAACCTATATACTTAGCACTAGACCATCTAATTTGTACCACTAATTGATCAAGAGTAAACAAATTTCTGTTTTCATTTATCTAGGAACACACAGCTTGAAGAATTAGTGGTATCATTTTTCAGTCATTTGTCTGAACATAATAAAGGCAGATCATGAACGTGGGGTAGCTAATTGTATTATTACAACAGTAAAAAATAACAGCAAACAAACAACCACTGAAGAGGATGAGTGTTTCCATAGTGATGAATTGGGATGCCACTACTCTTGTCAACTTATTCACCTGAATATCTGCTAACCAAATTAAGTTTAATGAGGCTTTGGGAAAATGTGCTGGATTTCCACAATATGGTTACTATTAGACAACTGTTTCCCAAATAACTTCAGCCTCATTTATCTTCATTTGGAATTGGTTGTGTAAAACCCAAGTTCCTAAATAAAAGTATTTTCCACTTGATCTCTGCATCTAAATACATTGGTGCTTTTAAGTCATGACAGCTGCCAAAATCAACACATCAAGGACTGCTTCTGCAAGAAGCACAGTCAGTAACAAAAACAATGACGTGCATAATTAACATCATGATTGAACTGGGGAGGAGTGGAATAGGCAGGAGTGCTTGTTTTGCTCTTTTCTTGACAGGTTATAGTTATGACATATCCAGCAAATTTTCATTATAAATATATGGAGAAAAATCCCTCAATTTTAATATCTTTGCTTTCTTTTTCTTGGCATGTAAGCAAAGTAGTGATTTTAATTCACCCGCCCATAATTCTAATGCACAGGGTAGGGTTCTGGGAATACAAATAAGCTCACAATTAGTGCTAGTCAACTTTACAAATTATTAAGGCAACTCTTCAAGCATCTTGAGGTCGACCTGGTGAAGAAACCATGCTCCTTTTTAATGCCCCTAAGGGAGAACAAAAGCAAGGCAACCTGCAGGTTAGCACAGGCTAATGGCACTAATTACCTTCCAAGTAGGTAGTACTTCGAAAGAAGCAGGCAACCATAATGGGCAATTTGCCATCCTGTGCTCTATACTTGGTCCTCTTAAAAGACTTGAAAATGTACAAGTTTTAGGGTTTTCTGTTTGAAGTCCTTGGAATGGATTTAGTTAAGATGATAGGGCTGAACGCTTTGTGATTTTCTGAAAGACTGGAATATATTTTGTTCACTTGGTTTTCTTTATTAAATTTGAACATGTGGAAAACCAGTGGCTTTTTAAACTTGTAAAGTTGGCTACCTAGACAGAAGAGCTTTACAACAGTCTTTTAGGTTACTGATATATACTCAAACCAGTGCCAAAACAATCTTAGTCTTATATATGTTCAGTCTTGCTACTGACCAAACAACACATTTTGATAATTGTCATTTCTTGAACCAAACACACTGCTGTGGTATGCTCTTCGCTTGTTGGCCTTCTGATCATTTAGTTCTAACCACATGCTTTTTTTCTCCCACAAAACTCTGAGAGTCTAGAAAGTTTTCAAGGGGTAAAGTGTTATTACCTTACTGAAATCAAATTCAACAAAAACCAAAGTTCCTGAAAACATTGTTTCAGAGAAATTCTCAAGTATTATTAAGAAGAATAACTGCTTATGCTAAAGTAAGAACAGAGCTATGGCAATGGAAGATTAAAGACTGATGCGGCAGTAGGTTAGAAATCACAGCTAAGCTTTTATCCTTGCTGTTAGCTTCTTAAAAGCAAAAGGATTATGTCTATCAATTTGTAGTATGTTAAACTTGTGTTCAAAGTTTATTCAATGTCACAGAAAATACACAAACTACAACAACAGAACGAACTGTTATCCTTTGGAGAAACAGTGAAGAAATGGTGATGTAAGTCCTCCACCCGGCGCCAATCTGCCTCATCCGGGGAGGTTAGGATGCAGAACTCACTGTGTCTTCAAAATTCCAATGTTATGGAATTACATTTCCCGATTTGTTGCCAGGTATTTTTGAGAACCTGTAAGACAAATTTGGGAGAAAGCTATTATAAGTGAACTTCTCTTTCCTAAATATCAGGAGACAATAATCACCCCTACAGAACACAAATGGACTAAGGGAAGGGAGGATGTACCAACCATCAAATAACCATTGTCTGACTCTTGTCACGTCTCCCTATCATCCTTTGCAGCAGGGTTTCTCAACCTTAGCATTATATGGACATATTCAACCAAAGTGCTCTCTTGTAAGAAGTGAGAGAGATATCCTGTGCATCATTATGGAATGTGCAGAAGCATTACTGAGCTCTACTCATGGAATGACAGTGGCATACCACTTTCTAAAGTTGTGACAACATATAATTGACAAATATACCATAGATAGGTAAACTTCCCCTACTTCAAAACTACCTTTCTCATATGTGTATATGTGTATATGAGGGCAGAAACCAGAGGTCCATGTCAACCTCATGTGATAACAATTCTTTCAAAGACCATCCATGTGGCTTTTTGAGTCTGGCTGTCTCACTGGGGTCTAGGGCTTATTGATTAGGTTATGCAGGCTGGTAGACAAGCCCTAAAGCTTGTCTTCCTGTCTCCACCTCCCCCTCTAAGATCACTAGAGTGTGCCACCACACCCAACTTTTCATGTTGGTTCTAGGGTTTGAACTTGGGTGCTCAAGAACTCAAGTGTGTATATTAAGTAAATGCTGAAGCACCTAAGGAATTGAACGAACTCTCTAGTCCAAGAACTACTTATCTCTAACAGTGATAAATAAGCCTGTCTGGGATGGTAGAAAGGAATCAAAGCCACTGCTTTAGCCACAGCATTTCTAAATGACAGTAGAGTTTGCTCACATGAAAATCACAGTTGTATTTTCACATCCACTGTGATAAATCACCACCCCCACAGTTGTAAAAACTGAACAGTCTGTAGTCTAGTTCCCAGTAATATACCAAGGACAACTGCTTGGCCTTGTACTACAAAACAAAAGTGTAAGATGTTATCACTGTGAGAAGGCCAACGTCCTAAGAAACAATGATCATTTCAAAAGGTTAAAATTTAAAAAGGAGTAAAATCTTGCCCTGAGATCAGTATGCAAGGCAAATGAGAGATAACTGAGAGTATACAATGAAGAACTTTCTAAAACCAGTAATTTTCTCATACTGCAAAGAATACCTTCTTTGACATAATTTTTAAAAAGTAAATTCCTATGAATATTTATAGTCCATATTTTTAACGAAGAAAATAGAATGTTTGGGATATATGGGGGAAAAGGTAGGATATACTAAATGTCTAGTTGGCTAACTATGATCCAATTGAAGTTCAGGCATTTAAAGTCTCAGTAAAATAAGATGCATATGTGCAGTGTGGAAGCTTTAAATGTACTACAAATATGAACTACAGTATGGTTAGTAAGACTGGCAATTATCATAAATAGTTTACTGTTACATGGTAACATGTACATGGGAATTATAAGACATGTGGGTAAAGTAAAAGTTCCAAAAAAAGACATTACAATAGGTATGAAAACAATATATATTTAAAATTGCTTTCAGAGAATAGAATGGTTTATGAAATACAAAGATGTTGGGAAATGCTTTAAAAAACAAAACAATCTTTATACAGTGAGTTTGGTCACATGATTATTTACGAGGTAAGTGCACTTGGCTCCTTCTTATCTGACTGATAAACAAGAAAAATAATGGTAGTGTACAGTCATCTTTATGATGTAAAGAAACTGATGGCCACAGGGACATCTGCTATTTTAAATGGCTTGTAATAGTGAACCATCAAAACATTCATTACAAGGGCTGAGATATAGCTCTGCTGGTATAGTATATGCCTCAATGCAGGGACCCCAGGTTTGATCTCTAGCACCTCAAAAGCAGAGGAGTGTGGCACTGCATGCCTCCTGTCATTACCACTTGGAAAGTGGAATCAGGAAGATCACAAGTTTATGGTCATCACCAGCTACACAGTAAGTTCAAGGCTAGCCTGGGCTATAAGCGACCCAGACTCACACATAGACAAAATTATTACAAAACAAATATTAGAAGCCTAAACAGTTTGTGTGAATGAATTACGATTTGAGAAAAAAATAAATTATAAAAACAAACAAAAAAATAAAAAAATATAATAAAATAAAAAGAAGCCTAAACAGTAACATTTCATTGAAATGTTTTATATTTCTTCCATTCTGAAGGAATGGTCAGGAGTAAAATAACTGGTTGTAGAATGATACATAGCAAACTTTAAATGGCTTGTAACAGTGAGCCATCAAATGTTCATTACATGGGCCAAGTTCTGTTGGAGAATGAGAATTCAGGAAGCAGGCCTTTCACCTTTACCCACCTCTCCATCCTTTGTCCTTTTCTTTCACTTATATTTATTTATTTATTATATTTGGGTGCACATGAGCTACTGTGTGTGTGTAGGGTCAGAGGACAGATTGAGAAGAGTCAGTTCTCTTTTCTCCCATGTGACTTCTGTGGATCTAACTTATTTCATCAGAACTGGCAAGAGATTTGGTACTTTTACTTGCTAAGCCATCTTGTTGGCCCTATCTTTAACTTTCTACATTCTTGTGTCTTATTAATTTTAGGAAACCAACATATTAATTTCACTATTACAAAAGGCTGAAAAAGATTATAAGTAATTCAACAATTGAACAAATGTTCTACCCTATCCCCAGAAGCCCTGACTACTGAAGGGTAAAGAGAGCCTAATGAAGACTGAGGGTCTCAGAGAACATTATGTTGTTAAAGGGTGAAGTTACTTCAAATACAGAAGGACCTAGTCCTGCCCAGGTGCCATTCAGTCAGCTCACCTTTCAAGGTGCCCCAGTGGATTTCTGGATCTGCTCCTTTAAGATTAGGATACTCTGTCTTTGCTCAGGGGGCAGCATGGCAATCTGGTCTGCAGTGAGTTGAAGGACCTGCATAATCAAAGCAGCCTGTGCAGAGGAAGGGAAAGTTGTAAGTTTCAAGGAAGAGTCAGAAAACCAAATAAAACAAAAACATCACCAGCTTCTGTCCAAAAGGCTACTGTCATGGGATATGAAGCAAAATGGGAAAAGGGAGGATATTTCATACTCTCATTCACACAAAACAAACTGCAGGCCAAAAGAAAGAAAATCTGCCAAGAAAAGCACAATGAAGAGCACAAGAATAAACGAAAACATCTAAGATTACATGATGCAAACAGACACCTAAGGAACTCAAAGTTCCAGCAGATTAAGATGGTATTTGTGAGCCTTGGGAACTCTTAAGTTTTGAGTCCTATTTTAAGTTTCCCTCTTTCACAACTTTAAGCCTTTCCATAAGACACAAGCTCCTAACAAAAGCTAAGAACAGCAACAAAAAGATATACTTGTGGTCAATCTGCTATTGTTTCTGTAGGGATTGGGTAGAAATGGCAGGGGAGAGGACAGAAAGGAGCTTGGATTTTTCAGGTCAGTTTGGCTTGCACAGAAAAAAAAAATCTACCATTTTTAGATGAGTCTGAAATGTAAAATAAGTTGCCAGTTACATTCAGTTAAAAACTTTAGGAGCAGGTCCCCAAAATGCTCAGCCAAATTCATTAGAAAGTTCCAAGTTAGAGTAAACATCACCTCCAAAGGAATTTTGAAGACCCAGGATCTTCATGGTAACTGTGAAAAGATAAAAAAGACTAGATTTGTGTGCAGGGAGGCACTCAGACAGTGTTGCTTACCTTCTCATGATCCTGGGGTGTGACCTGGCTCTGTCCAGGACTAAAGCCACCAGGCTGGCTTCCACCTTGCATGCTTGCTCCTTGCATGCCTGCTCCCTGCATGACTGGGACCTATTTGTACAAAAAAGTAAAGAGCATACAGAATTCCTGACATCCACGGAATCTCAATACAATTAACGATTTTGACCCAAATAAGCATAAAGAGAGAATGATTTAAAGACCAGCAGAAGGCAGTGTTTAGCCACAGATCTACTAACATACACATACTTGCTTATATCATTAACAAATAATACACGGCACAGGAAATGGGCATCAAATTAACAAAACTTAGCCCAATAAGCACAGGAAAAACTATGAACACTGGAGAAATTAATGCTCAGAGGAAACACAAGTAAAGCTACCAGATTTTAAACAACTATATACTGCTCTACTGGTGAAGCTATATTCACAAGACCATGGCCTACCTCTAGTTCAATCATACAATGATAGCTATTCTTAAAGAATTCTATCCCATAAAACAGAGATGGTGTCAGGCACAAAGGAGATAGGAAGGTCTCTGGGGAAAAAGATGTTATTAGCCCAACATTTGCTTTTTAGAGATTCCTTAAATAAAAAAAATCCCCTTAATATCATTTTAAGTGCTCAGAACACACGACAGTAGTGTAATTTTTTAAAGAAAATTTCATTTTTATGAGCTTTTTTTACCAGCATGTATGTCTGTGCACCACATACATGCCTGGTATCCATGTAGGCTAGACAAGGGTGTTAGATGCTCTGGAACTGAAGTTATACCTGGTTATGATCCACCATGTGGGTGCTGAGAACCAAACCCAGGCTTTGTACAACAGTAAGTGCTCACCACCGAGCCATCTCTCCAGCCCTGGTTTTCTTTCTTTTTTTCTTTTGAGTGCTTTCTATAGAGAGCATATAACAATTGCTTCATGCTTAATGCAAAAAAAAAATATTACTTGAGTAAAAGAATACAATCCAACTATGGCATGTGTATTGGTATTTAAGATAGGTAGTGAGTCCAACCCTTTGGAAGAAACCAGAACTCAAAATACCTGTGTTCATCTATTATAACTGTTAGATAGCCTCTACACTCAACACCATGCTCATACTGAGGCTCTAACCCAGAGTTTAGAGATTTTTTTGTGAACAAAATTTTTAAAAATCTTGTTACCCACTTCCTCAGATTACAAGCAGTATAGAAGTATAGAAGGGATAGAGAAAAAGACATGTTAGAAATAGATAATGTGGTAACACTGTGAAGAACCAGGTGACAATCCATCAGCAAAGGGGGCAGATACCCATAGGAGAGTACTATGACATATAACATAAATAATAATGAATCTATTTCCATGGTATGAATAATCAAAAGATGATTTAAATTGTTTTCATTTAAGAAAATAGGAAGCATAATACACCCTTTTCCCACTAAAATAGTTCAAGCAACTACCTGTAGAATAATAGTTCTTTCACTAGATGTGGTGGTTTGGATAAGAATGGCCCCCACAGGTTTAGATATTTGAATGCTTTTGGTCACCAGGGAGTAACACTATTTGAAAGGATTAAAGTGTGGCATTTTGGAGGAAGTGCATCACTGAGGGTGGGCTTTGAGGTGTCAAAAGCCTATGCCAAGCTCAAATCCCTGAAACTGAAGCCCTCTATTAAATGCTTTCTAAGAGTTGTTGTGGTCATGGTATCTCTTCACAGCAAAAGAATAGTGACTAAGGCAGAAGTTGGTACCAGAGACTGAGATATTGCTGTGAAAGGCCTGACAATGCTCTCTGTTAGAGGAATATGGAAGACTCTGGACTAGAAAAGTGGTGGATCCTTTAAGCAGGGCTTAATGAGAACAGGGATAGTAGGAACATGCAAGAGAGTGGGTGCTGAGGGTGATTTGAACTGTAGGGTCAGCACAAGAGGTTTCAGAGGGAAAGAATATTAGTAAGTGGCCCAGATTTTGGCAGACTATAGCTGTTTCTGAAGTCTTAAATATCTGCCTTAGGCTAAATTGAACAGTTTTGAATGGATGGCCTTGGCAGAGAGTTTTTGAGACTGCCAAATATTGACTGTGTCATGCAGTTATTAGTGGCCACTCCTATGCAGATCTATAATGAAAACGAGCAAGCTGGGCAAGGAAAAAATGTACAGTTTAAGGGCAAAAATTGCATCAGAAAGTATAATGGACCTAAGTCTAGTGCTCAAGGAGATTAAAAGTTTAAAGAAAAGCCTGATGATAAATGGAATAAATGGATTGGTGAGTTCAGGATAAGATCCTGCCTAGCCAAGCTTCAACTTATGAAAAGAAATCAAAGAAAAGTTTAAGAAGTAAAGGAAACCATCAAGAAGAAAGCTGATGCAAATCTAAGTGAACAAGGGAGCCTAATTCCAGCTTCACCAGGCAGCTGAACTTGGCAGTGTCTGCCACAAGTGGCTGCTGTCTTAGAGTCAGTGATACAACAAAGGGGTTGTCTAATATCCCTCCTAAACCAAAGGTGGCTGCTGAGGCCAGACATGTGTCAAGGGTGTGGATGGAGGCAGAATCTACTGCATGAAAATGTGAAGGTGAAGACTGGATTTCATTAGAGACCCCAAGATGTTGGAGATGCCAGAGTTGTAGGATATCTGCCTAGACGAGCTGCTAACAGGGAGTGGATCCAGCCCAAAAGAGAGAAGTGTGTTTTAGTCAATGAAGCTAAAAGAAGTTGGAGACCTGGAGCGCTTTGACATCACACATGGAGATACAGAGTTTGGAGTTTGCCCAGCTGGTTTCAGGTCTTGCTTTTATCTAGTATTTCCTTGCTATGTTCCCTTTCCTCTTTTTTGGAATGGTAATGTATATTCTGTGTCATTTTATGTTGGGAGTATGTGATCAGCTTTTTTATTTTACAGGGTTTACAATTAAGAGAATGCCATAAGCCTCAGAAGAGACTCTGAACTTCTGAACAGTGTTGAGACTATTATAGACTATGAGGACTTTTGAAGTTGAACTGAATGCATTTTTGTATTGTGATATAGCTACAAGCCTATGGAGGCCAGGCAGTGGAATGTGATGGTCTTAATAAGAATGGTCCCTATAGACTCATATATTTGAATGCTTAGTCACCAGGAAGTGGCACTATTCTAGATTACAAAGTCTGGTCTTGTTGGAGGAAGTTTGTCACTGGGGATGGACTTTGAGGTTTCAAAAGCCCATGTCAAGTCCAGTATATCCTTCTCTGCCAATGGATCAGGATGAAGCCCTCAACTACTTCTCTAGCATCATGCCTACTATGTCTTCTGCCATGATGATAATGGACTAAATTCTGAAACTGTAAGCAAGCCTTCAACTAAATGTTTTATAAGAGTCATCATTGTTATGGTGTCTACTCACAGCAACAGAACAGTAACTAAGATACCTGAAATACTCACACGCATCAACTCTTTCCCAAGACACTGGGTTCATGAGCAATGGTACATCTTTATAGAGGGCACTGAAATAGCATCACTATTCTATTTATATTAATACTTAGTACCGAAATTTGTGTCAGTTGATCTGTTATGGATCTGAACCACCTCTGGGTAGTCACTTGGGAATTTACTAATACTGATTAATACCAACCTGAGACACTAGTATGAAATAATTACCCAACACTGGCAAGTTAAGTTTCCAGGAGTACCTATTCTAGGCATTACTAGCAAGACTGGCCACATTCCTTGGTTAGCCTAAGACAGTCACAGTTTATGCTTTTGTCTCAGAGTAAATTGTTGATAGCACTTTCACTCTTAAATGTATCTTTCTTTGTATGACAAATTACATAACCACCCTATAACAAGCTACAAGCTTTGAAATGCATGGAATGGAGTTAAGTTTAAAGTCTGATTTAAAGTGATAAATGAAGGCCATATGAAGGTTTTTTTTTTAAAGCCAAAAATCATAAAAAGGATAAAAGTGGAAGCTACACTTAAGATATCAGATAAGCCAGATGTGGTGGAGTATGCCTTTAACTCCAAACACTCCAGAGACAGGCAGATCTTGGTGAGTTCAAGGCCAGCCCAATATATATAGTGAAATCCAGGTCAGTCAGCAACATAAAGAAACCCAGTCTAAAAAATAATCTAATAAAAACAATTATCTATCACAAATGAGAGGTAAAGGGGAGAAAGTGAGATTCCTAGCATACAGCTTTTATAGAAGACTATATGTATTTATATATTTATTTGTAAGTGAATATATTAATTTTTTAAAATGTAAAAACTATCAATATTAAGTTCTTATTTTCTCTACCTTGGATCTAATTGGTTTTATAGACTTTTAATACAAACTATATTGGGCTGGGGTTATAGCTCAGTGGTAGATTACTTAGCATCTGTGAGGCTCTAAGTTTGAGTCTTAGCATCATAAAATCAACCCAAAACTCTAGCATTAAAAAGTAATAAATTTAAGCACTAGCAGAGAAATAAAAAAGAACAAGACATCAGCCATCATTTTCAATGTCTTTTCTCTTAGAATGGTGTGCAGAATCATATAAGCAGAGCATATGGTTACTTGGTGACTATCTCCTCAGCCAGTATGTTGAGACCTTGCTATTCACACTATTATATCCCTAGTATTCTGCTTGGTATTCAGTAGATGCTCAATAAGTATGTACAGAAAGGATATATAAAAATGTATATTTTGAGGCTATTGACCATAGAGGGTGCAACAAAAATCAAAGCCCACAAACATTTTTTAAAAAGCAAAACTTTAAATACAACAGAAAATATATTTTTATTCTATACATACCAAGAAAGAGTCACATTTTTATCTTAAATTAAAAAGGATCAGGCAAACATCTATACACATATATAACATGCAAATAAAATAAGAGAGTTGCAAAATAGAAAAGCAAACTGTATTTCTCTGTCATTTTTTTAGTTAAGTGAATTTGGTCAAGTCACCTGACTTTCTGGCCTTCAGCTTCCAAACCTATAAAACAAGAACTAAATGCTGGACATGATGCATTCAGCTTTGATATTTTTCTCAGTCCTTTTTTTACTCCCCACCCCCAATACAATGGAAGAAACAGAAACATAAAAATAGGAATAAATAAATAAAAAGATGAAGCTATCAACATACAGAACCTTGCAAAGATATATATGTATTCCATGTCCCCGCAACCAACTGGAGATGATAAATGAGGAAGTGACTACTACAAAGGATACTATAGGCACAGCTGGAGCAAACCAAGTGACAGAGACAGAGACAGAGAAGAGACAGACTGCAGCTCCAGAATCGTATGCAGACTGAATTTTCTATGTCACTGTTCATTTAGATGCTGTGATGACAATAAATCCACACAGGTTTCACTCACCCTGAGATGATCTAAATCAGTGGTTCTCAACCTTCCTAATGCTGTGACTCTTTAATATATTTCTTCATGTTGTGAGGATCCAACCATAAATTTTCATTGCTACTTCATAACTGTAATTTTGCTACTATTATGAATTGTAATGTAAACATCCAATATGCAGGTCCTCAAATGCTGTAACTCAGGGTTATACATTAAAATCATCTGGTGAAAGCTTTTCAAATGGCCTGAGATCTGCACAAGTATATTTTTGCAGGGGGTGGGGCCTGTTTTAATTGTCTTTTGACTTGAACTTGCAGGTTTCAGTTTTAGTGGCTATTTCATTCAGAAAAACCTGAAAATGTACAGGTCAGGGATTTGCACTGGGGATACAAACCAAAGTCATTTACAAAAGTAAATAAATAAATAAATAAATAAATAAATAAATAAATAAAATCAGGCTTAGTAACCAACTCTTGAATACATTAAGATTTTATGTATATATCACAAGCATTACCTGTCTGGATCCCTGGGGAACAACTGCCCCCATGTTCATTGGATTGGGACCTTGGATTCCACTAGGCATAGGTCCTCTAGGTCCAGGTACTGGGCCTCTGGTATCCATGCCTCTCGCCTCCATGGCACGGGCCTCCATGGCACGAGCCTCCATGGCACGGGCCTCCATGGCACGAGCTTCCATGGCACGGGCTTCCAGTCCTCGGGCATCTAGTCCTCTTGCTTCCATGGCTCTAGCCTCCATCCCGCGTGCATCTAATCCTCGGGGATCTCTTCCACCTAGAAAGTTGTAAGAAAACCTGTGTATAGCTACTAACATCTAGTCACATCTTTCATCTATAAGACTGTGTCTTCTTTCTAGTTTATCATGTTTGTAGATAAATTATAAAGATTCTTGTAAAGACTTCTGTCCCATATAAGAGCTGAAGAGCCCCAAGTACTTCATCAACCCACAGCTACCATTTGGCATTGTGATACAGTTTCCCCTTACCTCTGGCATCCAAAGGTTGACCCCTCTGATCTAGCATGGGTCCTCTTGGCTCTGCCATTAAAGGTCTGGGTTCAGCTAAGGGTCCTCCTCTCATGTCATGCGGAGGCGGTCCACGACCTTCATGGCCAGGAACGTGGTGCATGGGTGGGCCCTGATGAGGTGGTGGTGGTGGTCCCAGGTAAGCTCTAGAGATGAAAAAAAGTGACATATTTTAAAGCAGAATGTACCAACTTGAAATTTCAGCCAGATCAGTAAGCAAACATCCAACAGAGAACTGATATAAACATCAGTAAATAAATGACAACAAGAAACTAAGATAAAAGAAAAGGTATAAAATGTAAATTTGGGCATTCTAGAATTTATTTGACCAGGGCATTCTATGTTAGGGAAGAATTAATGGATAGTTATTACATGTACAATGAGTATATAGTATAGTGCAATGCAGGTTCTGGATTCAGACTAAATACTGAAATTCAGGTCATATCATTTACTATAAGTGATCTGTTTGATCTGGGTCACTGACTTAACCTCTATATGCCTTAGTTTCTTAACCTGTAAAACACGATTAATAATACCCATCCCTAACTTTGTGGGGATTGAACTTAGGGCCTTGGGCATAGTAGACAAGTGCTCTACCACTGGTGTTCCACCCCCAGCCTAAGGCAGATTTAATGAGATGATCTGTCAGGTACATAGAGAAGAGCCAAAGGTATGATCCTCATTAACATCAATAACTATTGTTATTAACAGTTTCATCACCCCAAGTTTTCCTTGTTTAGGTATATATTACTAGAATTTTCAATTTCTGGATATACAGTAGTCATGGTTGGCTCAAAGGTACCTTAACTATATAATTACGCTTTACCAAAAGTGCTTAGTCTTGGACAGTGGCTACAAATACTTGTTTATCTTTTGAAGAAGGCAAACAGGTCCAACTGTTCCAGAAAGTCTTTGCTTCCAAAGTAAAGAACATTCCCAACATTTCAAGCTGTTTTCTTCTATATCAGTACTTACCTAGGTTCTACTTCTCCAGTGACAGTCATTAAAGTGCCTCCCCGCGGGTCATTGGGAGCATCACCTAAAAGACCACGAGGAGTTGGGACGTTGGTAGGCAAGGCTCCCCGCTGCATAGCTGCTCTGGGGTCTTGCATTGGCACTGACAGGGAAACAAATGGGGAGTTACTGCTGTGAAAGACACATTAGCAAACAAGAAATGACTCTATACCACTGACAATGTAATTCAAACACCTTAGAGTGGGTGAAACCTCACCACAGCAGAATCCTCTTGCAGCTCAAGAACAGAAGCAGGGTGTAGGCAGAATCTGTGCCATGTCAGAGGTATGGATGGAATTATATATAAAGAGCAAACTGGGGAGCACCTGCCAAGAATTAGCATTGTGATCTGAAGAAACTTATTTTCCTGGTTTTCTTTCTAACCAATCTTAGTTTAAGGACCAGCGTCACAAAAGAGAGGTAGGGGCTTGGCATATGAACACTGTCATGGCTCTGAAAGAACCTGCTGTCTCCTTACAGACTGCAATTCCATCCAAGCCTCCTGACACCAGTATGGAGGGAGTAGAGCCTCGGACAGATGCCCATATCATCCATGTTCTCTGCCCTGTGTGAAGAGGTCAATCTTAGGCTTGTGGCCTCAAGAGGAAAAAAAAAACACAAAAATAATAACAAAAAAACAAAAAATACCCCAGAACATTATTACCCTTTGGGGGTTCTGAACGTGAGGATCACTGCCAAGCAGCTCTTTTCCCCTCAACGTCCCACCCTGAATACCACAAGCAAAAGGGAACCCGCAGATACAATGGGTACCTTGAACTCGCTCAATTGATGCAGGCCCGGCGGGTCCCACGGGCGAGTGCTGTAAGGTTCCTAGGTAAGCAGTAAGTTCAAAAGGAGAAACAGCAGATACTTAAAATAGCTTGAACATACATAAACACACACACACAAATACACACATACACAGAGACTGGAGATTTACATGTCAGTAAGAAGTCAAAAGTTCATTAGTTTGCCCTAGACTACAAAACTCCTTAAACTATAATAACTCCTTAAATTCTTATCCAGAACACTTCCACTTTGACTAGACATCTTTCTTTGTAAAACCTTTTTAAAAATTTCATTTGTGTATTTTTTAAAAATGTAAACGTGCTCTGTCTTCATGTACACCTACAGGCCTGAAAAGGCCATCAGATCCCTTTATAAATTGTTGTGAGCCACCATGTGGTTGCTGAGAATTGAAGTCAGGACCTCCAGAAGAGCAGCCAGTGTCCTAAACCACTGAGCCATCTTAACAGCCTCAGATAGCTTTCTTAAGAGAAACCTATGTGCTGGTTTATTTGGGCAAAAATAACCAACAATCTTGAACTCTTTTTTTTCTTTTTTGCCTAATCTCTTCTTGTACCATTATTTAAAAAAAGAAAACAGAGAAAAATATCTTTTCAAAAGCAAAACACAAAACAAATTGCACTGAATGTGACATGTGAGATTTATCAGACAGTTATAACAGAAGTGGGGCAATACTAATTCTGTCTTATTTTAAAGTATAAAATTTTCTATCAAAAGTATCAAATGGGAAAATGCAGCTGAACTTTAGATGAGGAAAAAAGAATATTTATCACTCTGAAAGAAATAGTCTACTAAGCCAGTCTACAGTTATAAAAAAAAAACATGACAAAGATTGGGTTGACAAGATACAACCAATATTAAAGGAGATGGGAAAGAAACAAGTTCTGTCTCAAACATCTGCCACCATTACAAACACACAAATCCAACAAGGATTCCAGGCAAAAGAAAACAAATCTGGTCACAAATGAAAGCATTCTTGTTTCCACTGCTGAGTACTGAAGGAAATTATTTTTATAAATTCATCTCACTTTGTCTTTTCCTCAAAAGGTTCTTGAAATACTTTCAACATGTGAGCCAATTCCTTTTGGTAATTCTTACCAGAAAGAAGGGACTAAACTAAAGTAGGAAGAAAGCTCTCTTGTAGAAGTATGTGTTAAACAGCTAAAGGGTTCACTGATAAGACTGATGCCCTGGGAAGAGGAAGAGATTAATGGAAGGCTAAGCCCTTCTCACTACTGCAAAGATACTCTGAGGTAGATACACCTGGGGGCACACAGCCACGCAGAAGCATGAGATACATTAGAAGGAAGATAAGATGTATGTTACAATTTGTCTTGTTGTCATTTATCTGATGTGTTTAGACTTGTCATTTCAATCAGCAATCCCTGTGTACCAATCATGGGCCTGTATCTTACATGCTTTTGAAATGGGTTTCTCTTATAGGGAATCAGCTGAGAAGAAAAATATTAAGCCCCTTTGGTCTGTCCAAAGCAATCTGTTCCAACATAGGCACCTAATGAATAACAAGATTATTTTGAAAATTAATTCTGAAATTAACAGTGCCAATACAATGTTAGGAAGAAAGCAGATTTTGGATTTGCAGACTTCAATCTTTAAGTTAAAAAAGAAGAGCACCAGATTCAGACCACAATACTCAGAAATGAGTATGTACTTACCTCTTCCTATCGAGAAACTTAAAACTCCTGTGCTTCCACCTCTTTACCTGTAAAACTAAGGCACTGCCACCTAACTCAAAGAGTTGTTTACAAAAATGGAAGTGACTGAGTATATATAGTACACATTCAGTTCCCTTTTTCCATCATCTTTCATTTTTTAACTGAACTAATATACTTTCTTCTCCTTCAAACTACAATAACATGAGGAAAGAACACAAAGATTCTGGAAGGGCTGCTGCTGTTATATACAGTGTTTTTTGTTTTGTTTTTATCACAGTACAGGAGACACTTTACAACTATGTTTTATAGACCTCTGCGTTCCTCCCAGTTTGTTATGGGATTTACATCTTGTTATCTACAGACCCGATCATATACTAAATGCTCATTATTTAAATTTCTTACAAAGTAAATATCTATTCACAAATTGAGTGAGACCATGCCCACAGACTATCAGGAAACAAAGTATACATTTGCCTCATCACAAATCTTGTAGAGTTAGGCGCTGGATCTCCTATGGAAAGTCTGAACCAACAGAAGTTTGGTAAATATAGAAACATTCTACTTCTGCAATGTCCAGTGTGGTCTTCATTAGCACATGTGGCTACTGAACACCTAGAGTATAATCACTGTGCCCAGGAAAGAGTATTTGGCTTTTATGATTAATTTGAACTTAATTTTAATTAACTTAATCTTTAAATTGCCACTGGTGATTAGTGGCTGACACATTAGACAGTGCAGATATGAAACATTTCCATGTCTAGTCTATATTAATATTTACCTTGTCCTCGTTCCATGGGCACTGGTCCAGCTCCTTGCATTCCAACTTGGGCTTGCATGACTCCTAGAAAATAAAGGGCAGGGAAAAAACATAAATTGGGCCTGTAGAAAAAACCAACAACAGTGGCTGAGTTTACAAATGTCATCTCTTTTCCCCACAAGGAGAAAGCTCTGATGGAAGATGAGGACTACCATTCAACAATGCCACGAGCAACAGTTCAAGTATGTCACACTTCAGTGACAAGTGAGTTCAGAAGGAATGTTTCATCACAATTAACAAAATTTTAGCAGAAATCCCTTTAATACAAGAAAGTAACACCTCTTACCTACAAGCCTCCTCTTATGGAAGGCAGCATCACTCATAGGATATTTTATAAATGTATGGGTATATTTAGTTGACAAAACCTTTGGGGACATAGATGCACTGAATGAGATGGTGTCAGGAATACTAGGTGCCCTACAAAGTATGATACAATTCTACAAAATCAAGGTTGATCTTGTGTCTGATAAAATATTCAAATGTCTCACTAAACATTCATACAAAGGAAAAGCTGTCTGTTGTCATCTCAACCTAGAGTCTGAGTCTGTTTTATTTGTAAACACAGAAGTTATATGCACTATTTTAGTATATATTCACTGACTTTTCCAGAAATGCAATTACTGAGTAAATTAATGGAGACTGCAATTTGTTTTAAAATTTTTAATATGATTTTTCACTATTTAGGAAAACGACATCAATAGTCCTTGTGGTGTTTGAATTATCAAAGCAAACATCACTGTAACTGTCTACATTTTTAGTTTTTACACTCAAGGGACAGATGTAAACACCTATTTTGTTTTCTACCCATACATGGACATTTAAATATTACTTTTTAATAAGTTAAATTTCTTTTACTTTTCATGTGTATTACAATTAGGGTGTTAAATTTTTTGAAGTCATGTTACAAAAGTATCATTTGTGTACTACATTTCAGGAAAGTAAAGCCACGCAAAATACCTGTTACAAAAAGGGTATGCTGGATTTAACGGAGTTGAGAACTTATGGTCTATATTAAGCAGATGGGGTATGATGACTACTATATAAAGAATAACCACACACTACAAATCCCTGTCTGGTCTCTTAAACATAGCAATAATTCTCTTTTCCTCAAAGAAATTAGATATGCTGCTGCATGGGGACAAAAGGCAAGCAGATTTGTTTGTAGTTCATTAATACTTCCTCAAATTAGAAAGTACATATCACATTGTCCCTATTTGATTGAGCATACTAAGCACTGAAAGTTATAGATTAAATACCCAAAGAACTGGATGCTATCCCAGCTCTTGCTATTATATTATATACCTGTGATTCTGAGCAAGTGACTCAATAAAAGTCTATAATCCTGGCTTCCTTATCTGTAAGATGAACAAGTTGTTCTAAATAGCAATCCTCAGAAAGTGGACCCCAGCTAGACAAGCCATATCAGTATCAATAACAACAACAACAAAAAATGCAAAACTTGAAAATTCGCAGGTTCTGAACCTCAAACTTGTTAAATTATAGTTTGGCAGCAGGGACTATCAATCTGCATTTTATAGGCCCTTCAGGTGATTCTAACACAGATTAAAGTCTGAATACAACTGCTAAATGATTTCCAAGCTTCTCTTGTAAATAATGTTCCATTCCACTAAATACAGACCAACCACCAACACAATACAAAGGTCTGAGGAAAAGGCAGCAGAAGGCATTATGAGCATAATTTCCCACATAAAGAAATCATCACATAATACCTTTTATTTTTAAAGACTAAATCTCCAGTGGTGAAACTGGTGGTCAGAATGTATAAATCTTTCATGTTATTCTACTTTCTTGAAAGGCTGAAAACCATCCTGTTTCTACCAGTGATGTATAAGAACAAATTTCTTTACAAATATTGTCCTCTTCTTTGAAACTTGGAACTGAGGGGTGTAAGTGGCACTTTATTGTTACTATAAATGAGGTTGCTGTATTGGCCATCTGGCTTTGCTTTTCTATGAAGCTCTTAAAATAGTTTCTTCCTGTACTTTTCTGTAAGTTGTTTTCCCTCTTCTTACCAATTTTCAAAGAGATCTGTAGGACAACTCAAAAATCCCCATGAAGTTTTAATGAATTCACAAATATAAATACTATAAACTCCAAAACATTCTATGAAAAGTATGCTCAATTTTTGTCTTTTGGTTCTTTTGGGGGGACATTGTTTTGATAACAATATTTCTCTGTCTGGTGCTAGGGACTGAACATGGGGCTTTTTGCATATTGTAAATAAGTGCTTTAACACTGAGCTATACCCCCATCTGCATTAATTTCCTCTTTTAGGTGTCTTGTGGTTTATTATTTTCTAATTAACTAGAGCTAGTATGGAATTCTGTTTTTGGTTACATGGGTATTTGAGAATATTCATTTTTCCTTTATGTACTACCTTTACTATTTCTCATACTTGTTTGTATGAAATATAAATATTTATTTATTTATTTTCAGGATTTATTTTAGGTATTCACCATTACTCACCAGAAGAGGGCACTAGATCCCATTACAGATGGTTGTGAGCCACCATGTGGTTGCTGGGAATTGAACTCAGGACCTCTGGAAGAGCAGTCAGTGTTCTTAACCACTGAGCCATCTTTCCAGCCCTAAATATTTATTTTTTTGTTTTAATTTACACTATTTATAATTTTTATTTCCTCTTTAAATAGCTACAGTATGTTCTTTAATTTTCCAAGGCAAGATTTCCTCCCACTCACCTTTTAATTATTTATTTCTAATTTTAATGGTTTAAAATCAGACAATGTGATCTATAAAAAATCTCCACTGCCTTTTGTTAAATTTAACTTATGGCTAAGCATGTGGTCTTCTTTATAAGGGTTCCATGGACATTTGGAGTAGGGGGAATGTATTCTGCAGCCAAAAGATATGTGGCTTTTTCTAAATAATGGAACTTGTTGATCCCATTAGTCCTTGAAGATGTGTATATTCAGCTTGAATATCTGCATATATAGCTGTTTTTTATTCACAAGGACAAGGTTATTCATCATGTCCAGAGAAGGTACTGACCAATAACCTGCATGTTAGTATTTCATGACAATGTAAGTACAGAAACCGAGAACGGATATTTAGCAATGTCTATGGCCGTTTGCCACTGTTAGGATATCCAAGTGTGCGAGTAGCACACTTATCTCACTTAACAGTTTATTCAGTCAAGACTGGTGGCATATGCCTCTAATCAAAGCACGTGGGTAGTTCAAATAGGGGGACTTCACGTTTGAGGCCAGTCCCAGCTATAGAGCAAGATCTTGTCTTAAAAACTATATAAAAGAAGAGATCACCTAGTTTCCTCAGCCTAGAATACATGTTATAGCTATACATTTATTTTATACCAAGATCCTATTGTTAAATAATTGGCTGCACTTCAGCAGTTACGACTATAAAACTTCAGCAAAGTAACAAAATGGTAAAGACTCTAACTGCAAGTTACCTGCAGGGGCTAAGGAACCAGGGCCAGGTCCTGCTACAGCAGCTGTCATCTGCACTGGGGCTGGAACTCCACCTGGCATAGAAGCTTGCATCATAGGAGGTGCGCCATTGACATGCATCCCACCCTGATCAAGAGAAAAACAAGTATGAGCATGTCTCTGCAGAGACTCAAAATATTTAGTCTATGGCCTTAAGTTTCTCTTAATGTTGGTAGTTGCAATCGTCTGCCAAACATCCTTTTTTGTATGACATGTCTTCTAAAACAGTTTTATCACATATTCTGAATCCCACAGAAGCAAATTGTAGTATCTTGAGCCTGTTTATGTGAGAGCAGTTAAGATAGAGCATATGCATAATATAGAGACGGATAATCATGTCTTGTTCATGTGGCAAGGCAGCAAATAACCCACTCTTGACTTCACTAATTGGTGCGTAACAATATTTTAAAAATGCCTTATTATAGTGACTTGATGTGCCAGGGTGGATTGGTACCCAGGGGGTCCTCCCCTTCTCAGACAAGGGGAGGGGGGAAAGGGGCTATGTGAGGGGGGACCGGGAAGAGAGGGGGGCTGTTACTGGGATGTAAACTGGATAAATGGTGAGAAAGACAAAAAAGAAAACCTGAAAAAAAATGCCTTAATACCCAGGACACAAAAAGGACTGAGACTTCAAAAAAACTTGCTGATATTCTACATTTTTAAGATAAAAAAGCATTTTCATTTGTTCAAGTTTTAATAACTTCTGTCCTTGGGTATAGCTTTTTTTGGGGTAGTAGTGAACTTTTTAATGATAAATTAAACTGCCTGAGAGAAAGGGAATGAAATTTTTCATGGGGCATTCCCTAGAGAACTATGCATGTCTTTGGAATGTAAAGAACTGTAAAGAATCAAAACAGTTCCAAAAAAATCAAACGCATGCACACCAAAAACAAAGTTTAGAGTCTGAGTTCATTATGACCCTACTCTTTCTGTACATCTGCAGTCTGTGTACAGTGTGACACAGAGGTCCAAAATAGCATGAATCTAAAGGAATTGTGATTGGTTCACATGTTCATGCCTAAACTCATCACTGTGAGTGGTGATGGGAGAGGAAGAGAGTGAAATATATTAGCACCTTGTTTTCTGCAGAGACACATTTCAAGACCATCAGTGGATGTTTGAAGCTTTAGTTTTTAACTTGTCTGTATACATTATTATTTTCCCCCAAGGTTCAATTTATAGGTTTACAATAGTAACTAAAAATATAACAATTATAGCACAACACTGTAATTAAAGTTGTGTGGATATTTTAAAAATCAGATATGTGTTCACTGTAATCAAAATTAAAAGAGAAAGGGGGAACTTGTACAGGGAGTAGTTAGAACAGGTTATGAGATTAGACTAGGTTCACATCCAAAGTTTGCCACTTATGATTCTGCTTTTACATCAGTTGCATTTTTAGTCTTAGCTAACTTTCCATTTCTACAAAATACTTATTTAGGACAGGAGCTGAAAACTACTGCTCATTGGCTGAATTCTCTTCTTTTTGTTCTTATTTATTTCCTGAGATAGGGTCTTTCTATGTAGCCCTGGCTGTCCTAGAACTCTACATAGGACAGGTTGGCCTCAAACTCAGAAATCCAGCTGCCCCTGCCCCTCAAGTACAAGGATTAAAGGTAAGCACTACCAAATTGGCTAAACTTGTAACCAGTTATTTTTTTCTCAAGCCAGGCATAGTGGCACATACCTTTAATCCAAACGGACTGCCTGGTCTACACAGTGGGTTGCAGAACAGCCAAAGCTATATAGTGAGACCCTATGTATAAGTTTTTTCCCAAGTTTCTTATGTTTGCATATACATAGCAGCATGCATATGGAAGTCATAAATCAGAGGACAATTTGTATAAGTTCCCTTTTCCTACTATGTGGCTCCTAGAGATAGAACTCATCATCAGGCATAGCAACAAGTACCTTTATCTACTGAGTCATCTTGTTAGCCTGCCTTCCTTCCTTCCTTCCTTCCTTCCTTCCTTCCTTCCTTCCTTCCTTCCTTCCTTCCTTCCTTCCTGTGCAAGTCTGTATACTAATGGCACACTGGAGGACAATTTGCAGTAACATATTCTCTCCTTCCACAATGTGAGTCCCAAGGATTGAACTCAGGTTGTCAGGCTCGATGGCAAGCACCTTTACTTTCTGAACCATTTTGTAGATCCCAGCCTTTCTGTTTGTTTTGTGAGGCAGTGTCTCAAATAGCCTAGACTGGTTTCAATTTTGCTAGGTAGCCAAGGATGAACCTGAACTCTGATCTGCCCACCTTTACCTTCCAAGTGCTGAGATTATAGGTATGTATCATTGTGCCTGTTTTTATCAGTAGCTTTGAGGTTTTACTAGAATACAATCACATTTTACATATTATATCATTGTTATAGAGATCATATAGCTTATAAAGCCAAATAATTTACTATCTGAATTTCTTAAGAAAATGTTTACTTTACTAATACTTGCCCTATACCATTCATTGGATTAATCCACATTATTTACTTCTCCCCATCTGAAAATGGTAAAAAAAAAAAAAAAAAGGTGGCTCATTTTAGCTTATATTTGTTTATTTAATTTTGAGGTTGTATGCTTTATTTTCAGTTTTGTGAACTGTTTATGCTCACTACTCATTTTGATAGTTTTTTTCTGTTTGTTAGACTTTTTACTAATTCATAGTAAATTTTTTTGCTTCTGAAAAATAGAGATATATACACAATCTGTGTGATTTTCTTCAGTTAACCATATATTTTTTTCTACTTCCTAAATGACTATTCAGACTTCTTATACATGTTTAAAATGTTTACATTTGGGCTGGAGAGGTGGCTCAATGTTTAGAAAAACACTTGCTTCTCTTGCAGGGGGTTATGGTTCAGTTCCCAGGATTCACATGGCAATACAAAATCATTTATAATTCCAGTTTAGCCTCCTCACACTGTAGCCCCACAGTGTGAGGCATACAAAAGATACACATAGAATAAAACAAATCTTTAAAATGTATCTATCATCATATATCATACTAGTTTTGCATTTCACTTAACAGGTTGAGAATTTATGCTGATATCTACATCCATATAGAAAAGGTTTCTGTACTTTTACTTTCTGCATGGTGTTAGAAGTTCTCTCTGTTGATACCACATATTCTAGCCTACCTTAATCCTGTATGGCATTAGGTTTATAAAAGTCATTCCTATTGGTACATGTAGTTTACTTAGATTTTCCCACTGGATAAGTAGACCAAATTTTCTCCACTTTTCATTAATGAACATTTCCTATGTTTCCAATATTTGCTATTATCATAGAGCAATAGACATCTTTGAGCATGAGCGAGTACTCGTTTACTTAGAAGTACCTTCTGCACATGTCATCTTTAGATGTATCAATTTTTTAGGTCTGCAGCATTACAATCATGCTTTGTTACTGCTGAAAATGAAGACAGTAAGAGTGCTTGCCTCATTTTGCTGCTATGAGGACTAAATGAGATTACATATAAGACACTGAAGTGATAACCAGTGGTAAACACACCCACAAAAATTAGCTTATTAGAAAATAGTTTACAGAAAGGATCTCTTTGTTTTATTATTTTGGAACTGAATCTACATTCTTTCAGGTGGCATATGCTCTGCAATCTGGAAATTGCTTTTATGCCTGAAAATTTAATTACCATCTCCGATTCCTGCTGCTTCTTCTCTCAATAGTTTCCTAGAAAGAAAATAACATTTTAAGACAGATAAAAAATGTTGTGGAATAAATCCCTACCAAAGATTGAGCCTGAGGGGCCTGAGGATTCTGCTGGTTCATTGAAACATTGGGTCCTGAGCCAGGCCCTGCAACATGGACTGCCTGAGGGTTGCCTGAAATCAGCGTTGGGATATTTGTCTGGCGATGCAGAATTTTCTAAAAAGTGAAAAGATATATCTATGAGATGTCTGTTTAACAAGCCAAACAGGCAGTTCCTATCCCAAAGATAAACCTGCTAGTTCTATACAAGAACCAGAGGCACTCACCAGGGCAATCTCAGGATCCACAATTCTCATCACTACCTGTGCCTGCAGCAAAGCATAAGCCAGCTGTGGATTCTGAAGCAACATGTTTCTTGCTTCCTGGGGACTATTCTGGACACAAAGCTGAGAAGATAAGAAAATTCATCTTCAGATTCAATGCTAAGAATCTCATCCCCTCTGAATTACCGATTTTCTTTTTTAAGCAGTGTTTCATGTTTCACATCCTGGTTTTTAATTCACTGTGACCCTTCTGCCTCAGCATCCCAAGAGGTGGGACTACAGGCACATGACATCATGTTGGTGATTTAGCACTGATTTTGACATTGAATGCACAATTTTGGCCATGGCAAGCAAGAAGAAGAGGTATTTATAATACTGTAATAATATCACTTAGGGAAAACACTACAATTTAACATCTACAGAGGACACAGAAACAGCTGGTTTGGCCAGGTCCACTTATGTATAAAAATACCCCTGTGTACAAAATGTGGAAGAAATGGTATCTACAGAATCAACTATTTAAGCTCAGGAAATTATATCCATTAACTCCTTGAAAATCTGATGTAAAAGATTGTTTATACTCTAATGTCTCCTCCCACCTTCATTTGTTTCATCAGCTCAAACATCTGTTCTGGTGGAAGACTGGCAACTGCTTTGCTAATGGATTCAGGGGCATCCTCAGGGCTGATGCTTTCTCCGTAAGGTGACTCTATGACAGGTGCACCAGTGCCAAGGCCTGATTAGGAAGAAAGTATAAGAAAGTCAGGATGGTAAAGTAACAACCCAAGTCATTTCAAGTATCTATTTTCTAGGGCTGCTGTTAGCACCAACCAATAACTTGTAACTCTCTGGAACTGAGCCACTTGAAAATTTCCTTTCTGTGAAGGAAAGTGAGGGAATATCTTCTGTTCTTAGTGGAAAGCTATGACAGTGATAATGTCGTTATTTATTTCTTTGATAAGTCACTTCAAGAAGAAAAGCACTGAAACCAACAAAGGTGATAATTTCAACAGAGAATTTGTGGAAATGTCTTTAGTATCCACCACCAGTTACTAATCTGGCAACACAGAGAAGTAACTTAGTAGACCTGCATTTCCCTTAAACTGGAAATGAACTCCTAAGGAACAGAAGGATCACTAAAGCCAAGTTTCTTAAACATAGACATCCCTCATTCAGGCACCTCAGGTCCTAGAAGCTATTCATTCATCTAATCACCTCAGCACCTTTTTTTTTTTTTTTTTGGTTTTTTGAGACAGGGTTTCTCTGTGTAGCCCTGGCTGTCCTGGAACTCACTCTGTAGACCAGGCTGGCCTCGAACTCAGAAATCCACCTGCCTCTGCCTCCCAAGTGCTGGGATTAAAGGCGTGCGCCACCACCGCCCGGCGACTCAGCACCTTTTAAAATATCTGAAAATGCAAAGCTTCCACTTGTTCATCTTTACTAACTTGTAATGCATATGCTTGACTTTATACTCACTCTTCAGTTCCTCTTTGTTCTTTTCACTGGCAGCATTATCCACTCGAAGTGCTCTCCCACTGAATTCACGCCCATTCAGGTTCCGCATGGCACTAAGTGCTGTCTCTTGGTCTTGGTATTCACAGAAGCCATAACCCTTTGGTTTTCCTGTCTCCCTATCATATACCAATCTGAAGACCAAAACCAAGTATTAGGAACAAATGCTACACACACAGGCTTCCTGCTAACACTGCCATGTTCTAATTTAGTCCACAGTAAGATACCTTTCTAACTCTGCTTTCTTGGTTTGGAAACATTTTTAATAAAAGAAATTTTTTCCAGCAAGACTGGATATGAATTATACAGCATGTGCATCTATCCCAGAATCTGTGCTTTTTAAGACTCTCACAATGAAGATGTTTGAAACAGGTTCTCACCTGAAACTAACAACAGGCCCAACCTCAGAGAAGATGTCCTTCAGTTGTTCTTCAGTAGCTTCATAAGGAATGTTTCCCACTAAAGAAGAGACAACACATTAAAATTCTGGAACAGTAACTGAGCTCTTGAGTGAGCAAGTGAACAGTAGGCTTTCTATCTGCATCAATACATATACAATAACTGACTGAACAGCGTTCTCTAAAAACCCCCGCTCCCACTGTTATCTTTTCAGATCTTATAACAAGGGAAATGAGCCAGAGACTAAATATAAAAAGGTGTCTTTCAAACAGTTCTCGTATTGATATGACAAATAAAAGGTTTTCCTTAACTGTGCTGAAAATAAAATATTTAAGCATTGGTATTTACTCAAAGCCCCTAACAGTCGGGGGATTATGTCTGTATTTCCATGTATACATACACTTAGGAAGGAAAAGCCATGAATACAGCACAGGATGCTTAAAGGCTTTTTAAAATTCTCACAATGAAGAGACCATTTTGTCATGTCTCTTTCAAATAGTGTTTATTTCTTGTTATTTCTGTTTTGAGAAAGAGTCTTGTTATGTAGCTCTGGCTGGTCTTATGAGGTAGCCTAGGCTGGCCTTGAATTTGAAGCAATTCTACTGGCCTCAAACGTGCTTTAAACGCAATACACGTATTTTGGAAATAACTCATTTAAACCCTAAGAATTGCTTAGTCTCGATCCTCTGAAATCTCCCTGAGCTTTAATCATTCATTCATTCATTCATTCGCAACCCACCTCAAGATGTCAGGTGGCCACTACCACTATGGTTGGATGAAACGTTACAAGTAAAAAGCAAGCCATATTACACGTTTATGAGAGGGCGGGAAGTGGATATGGGGTCGATGGCTTCAGAATAAAATCTGTATTTTGGGCTAGGAGAACCAGCACGAAACAGGGACGCTCTGTTTCCACGCACCTTTTCTCCTAAAAAATAACTGAGAATCATGAAGGAGAAAACGCAGAAAAGACAGACGCTAGAGTCTAGCTCCCTGAATCACACTGCGGAAAACCTCTGGTACCTAGGAGCCGGAGGGGGGGGGGCGACGAGGGCGGGGGCGGGGGATCTCGTCTGCCCACGAGTACGCCAGGCTGCAGTGCCAAAGGACAGCACCAAACCCGCACGCCCTCCCGACACCCGCTCCACATAGGGGACCTCAGGGGACGTCCCTCCCTGACCAAAGACACCTACGAAACCCTCTCACCGAATACAGAACGCAGAGAACGATCCACCGCAGGGTCTCTAACTGGCAAACCCGCCATGGCTCACCCCCTGAGGTGGCTTCCGGTGCGCTAAAGCACACTTCCGTGGGAGAGCGAGTCCACGACCGAGCCCGCCTCCGTCCGGTGGGAGCCGGAAGCACCTGGACCAAAAGCGCCGCGGATCCTGCTGCGAGCCTCACCGTTTTGGTTCCCGCCTAGCGTTTGGCCGGGGGAGGGCCAACAGTCTGCAGGAAAGGCTGTGGCACGAGAAACGCTGCGTAAGCGGCGCGTCGCGGGGCGGGGCTAAGCCAATGTACGTCATCGGGGGTGGGGCTAGGCTAATGAGACGTCTTGGAGCTTGCAGACGCCTTTCTCCCTCTGTCTTCGTTTTTCTCTGGCGCCCACACAAGCATTTAGAAACATTAACTACGTGAGCTGGGTATATGGTTCATTCGTAGAGTGCTTACATAGCGTGTATGAGGCCCTCCAGAGAAACACATCCCATATCAGAAGAGTCTGCTTTAAATATGAGGCATAGAACACACGCACGCGCGCGCGCGCCCGCACACACACACACACACACACACACAGGCGCGCGCGCACACACACATACACACACAGGCGCGCGCGCGCACACACACACATATACACACACGTGCGCGCGCTTTGTGGAACATGTCTCAAGATGTATTTCTGGTAAAGAGGAAATTCCATTTAAAATCACTATGTGACTTACAGAATACCTTAGATAATAGAATTATTCAAAGTCAGATATGTACAGCTCTGTAAGACACAGCATCAGAATTTTCATGAGTCACAGTTGGGAGTAGTGAATTTTCACTAAAAGAATACGTATGGCTAAGCAGATTTCTTACCTAATATAGATGAAGTATTTGCTTGGAGTACTTAACTAAGGATAGAGGGTTTTTTTGGACCCCCACTCCAATCTATACAGTAAGATTTACACATTGAACTGAAGAGTCATTTTTCAACGAGTGCCTCTGGTGGTTCTTAGGGCTATGCAATTTGGGAAATATAGTTGATGAAGTAGTTTTATGACAACATTTGGTACAGTCATACATTCTTTTTTATCTGTAAATTGTTAAGTAGTAGCTGGACCTAAATGTTCTTTGTTCAGCTCTATCCTTTGTGAGGGAGGACATTTGGAAATGTACAGGAGTGTGGCTGCCTTGTGAAGCACTATTACTGGAAGAAGAGCCAGAAACAGCAAACATACTGTCAGATGCAGAGTTCTACTCAGTGAACCCCTCACTTCCTCAGATGCCAATATTTCTTTGAGAAACATGTTGCATCAGCTATACTGGAGAAAACAGACATTGGCTCTAACAGCTATGTCCTGTGCTCAGTTGCATGGGTAACTTCAACGTTAGCTCTCTCAAAACTATGCAGCTGTATTAGTCAGGGTTCTCGAGAGTCACAGAACTCATGGATAATTCCTATACAGTAAGGGAATTTGTTGTTGACTTACAATCTGTAGTCCAACTCCACAACAATGATCTGCAGCAGCTGTGAACGGAAGTCCCAGGATCTAGCAGTTGCTCAGTCCCACAAGGCAAGCAGGCAAAGAAGAGTGAGCTTTCCTTCTTCCAGTGTCCTTATGTAGGTCTCCAGCAAAAGATGTGGCCTGGACTAAAGGGGTGTACCACCACGCATGGATCTGGGACTTGCCTTAGTCTCCTGGGATTAAAGTTGTGTACTACTTTGCCTGGGCCTAAGCTTTTCATAGCCACTATGCCTCAAGATCAGGATCACAGGTGAGCCTTCCAATTCTGGATTGTAGTTCATTTCAGATATAGTCAAGTTGACAACTAGGAAGAGTCACCACAGCAGCTAATTCCAATAAAGGCTGATATTTGTATTTGCTCCACGTTCTAGTGTATCTGTTTTTGTGGGAGTTACCAAGGTTGTTGTGTTCACAAATCAGCACTAGAGGAACCAGGAATAGAAAACATACAGTGTTGTCTCTTCAAGGGGAAAGATGTATAACCTAGTTTTGCTCAGAAGCTGGGAGCGGACATGGTTAACAGCCTGGTGACTTTTGCACTGTGTAACTGAGACCACACTGGATCCTTCCCCCAGAACCTTATCGTGAGCTTGTTTTCCTCGGTCAATATAGAACCTATCTTTATGGAAGATGTTGCATGTACTTTACAAGGAGTTTCAATGTAGTAATGTCCTAAGTTTTGTTGTGCACATGGGATTTATCATTAGGAAAATTTTCACCAAGTTGTGCTGTTATTTTATGCCTAAAATAAACTGCCTAATGTCAGACTCTCAAAGTTTGAACCAACACCAGCTAATTAGTTGTGTTGAACCTTTTCACCTCCTGTGGATCGTTACATTACTCTGTTGGCCATGGTAGTTGAAGAGATGCCACTACCACCACATGATAAACTTTTTATCACTGTGCAATGTATTTCCACAGAACAATAGATTATGACAATGTTCATTTGTTAGTTCACAGTTTTTTGGGTCCGAAGTCTGAATGGATATGGCTGGGTTCTCAGTTTAATTTTTCACAAGGATGAAATTAATGTGGTGGGCTTTATGTGGGTTGTCTATAGAGACAACCAGTTTTCAAGCTCACTTTATTGTCAGCAAAACTTGTTTCTTTGTGGTCACAGACTATGGTTCTTGTTTCCATGCTCTCTATTGCTCTGGGGATTTTGGCTTCAGGTCTTGGATGCAAAAGCTTCTCTCAATGCATGGGGTAACATCTCAGAGCCAGCTTTTGAGTGAAAAGACTTTTCCTGGGGAGATGTAACAACACACTTGTCTGAGTCACTTGGAAAGGACAGGTAGTTTGTCTAAACTGCTTCCAGGCTGTTTGACTGGTTTCTGGGTCTTCCAGGCAGTTGGTCTGGTCTCAGAGTCTCCTTTGTAACTGGTTTATCTGAGTCCTTTTTTGTACTTTGGCTCTTCTGAGAAGGACTCAGGAACTTGGTTTGTTTACTCTTTGGAAGAAGGGACCTATGGAATGTGATCAGTTCCGGGGACTTCTGATGCTATTTGGAGTTGCTTGCCTTCCTGTTTACAGAGCTTCCTTGCAGGATAAAATGTTTCAATCTCAGAAGAAATGGCCCCACAACACCAGCAATGGTGCAATGAAAACTTGTGCTTGGAGTCTTTGTTCTGGAGTCAGCTGGAGACTATTGTGCTTGTATAGGGTCTTTGTGTCTTGGGTCGGCTCACGTAGTTTCTCTATATTAAGATCAACTTATGTTGGGGCTGTAGAAATGATTGAGCAATCTTGCTGCTCTTACAGGGAACCCAGGTTCCATTTTCAACATCCACATAGTGGCTCAAAACAGTCTGGAGTTCCAATCCAGGGGATCACATGTCCTTTCCTGCCCTCCGTGCATGCATGTGATATAAGAACATCCATGCAAGCAAACACTTTTGCACATAAAACAAAAAAATAATAAATTTTTGTAGAAAGATCATCTACTATTGTGCAACAAATTAGAATCATGAAAGTAAAATCCATTATGATCATGCGAGGCCTTAAGATTTAGCAGGCAAATACAAGACATTGTGTAGGGGGGGACCAACCTTAGGATCTATGTTAGAGAACTGCTTCTTGTGCCCATTTTATAGATAGTTTTTTTCCTGGCACAAGAAATTGTCTAAATGCTGTTTTAACTCCCTTCTAATGTAATTGAGAAATTTTAGATGGCTCAATATATGTTATTGCCATTTGGGGAAAATAATGTAAAAGTCTATGATCTTTTGATGGTGAGTAGATAGCTCATAGAATGAAAATCACCAAGAAAAGATTGAGGCAGCCAGAATCTGTTGTGCACCACCAACCATCTGTGGAAAATGTACCATATGTAGTATTACAGTGTTGGGTTCAGCGTGGTAGCCGAGAAAACTCACTTCAGATACAGAAGCTTAAAAATGAAAGCTTTATTTTCTAAGTGCTCAGGGAAGCAGCCTGTACAGGATCCGAACTGCATCCCGGAAGGGAGATTGTACAACAGTTTTAAAGGATTGGAACACAAAGCAAGGGGGCTGGGGGTGTGCAGTGTTACCCAAATGTATTTTGATAGAATGGGTTGATCAAGGGAGTACTCGGTTGGAGACTGAGCCTTATCTAGGCCACATGCCTTCAAGGGGCTTAGTTCATTCTCTTAAGACAGTAGGTCCAGAGTTCAGAGTGATAAAGGGACAAAGGAGCGGGTTAGCTGCATGTAGTTAATTAGGGCACAACAGACAATTGGTTATGTATTTTTATAACTTATGCACCTTGGTTTAGATAACAGCAGTTTCTACATTTTTACTGGCTAACAGACAATTAAAATACTTGGGAAAATGGGATAGGTGTTTATTCCTAGGCCTAGGAACATGAACTAGGCCATCGTGATGAAGACATTGTCTTTTAGATGACTAGACTCAAACTGTCTCTACAAATTATCCCTTAAATATCTGGTGCCATACAACAGTTTCCAACAGAAGCTGTTCAGCTCTAGGGAAGTCCCCAGCTCCCCTAGGGCTTGGGACTTTGAATTTAGTTTCATTCTATGATTAAATGGAGTCTGAAAACAAAATGGTATTCCTCAAGTTTCTTTTGCTTACTCTCAACACCCTCAACAGCTACACTGTCTCTAGTGGTTATCCAAGAGGAGATGTGTGCAAGGGGAGCATCCCAAATGGTTTCTGTTTTATCCATGGGTTTCATGTACAGGCTGGGAGTTAGTTACTCTTGGTTTAGTGCCTGCCTATTGAGACTCTTCTCATCATTGACATATTCCCTGTGTGACATTTCTTTTGTCATCAATTTTTACCAAAGTGAAGACACAAAATGGAGTGTCTGATCCTGTTGTAGTGGCTGTGATTAAAGGCTAAATTAGCAAAGATATGGCCATGATATTAAGAAGTAGGAAAAATGCTAACAAAGAAGTATATATAAATGGAACCAAATACATAAGATAATGGTTACTTGGAAACTTTAAATAGATAGAAAGTACCCCTAACAGAGAATCAAATAATTTACAAATTGTGATGGTTTGAATGAAAATGTTGCCCATAAGCTCTAATGTTTGAATTCTTGGTCCTCAGTTGGTGACACTGTTTGGATAGGTTTAGGAGAT